TTGTTGCAATGGTAAATGGGGGTGTTTCCTTAATTTCTCTTTCAGATTTTTCATCATTAGTGTATAGGAATATAAGAGATTTCTGTGCATTAATTTTGTATCCTGCAACTTTACCAAATTCATTGATTAGCTCTAGTAGTTTTCTGGTGGCATCTTTAGGATTCTCTGTATAGTATCATGTCAGCTGCAAACAGTGACAGCTTTAATTCTTCTTTTCCAATTTGTATTCTTTTATTTCTTTTTCTTCTCTGATTGCCACTGCTAGGACTTCCAAAACTGTGTTAAATAATAGTGGTGAGAGTGGACACCCTTGTCTTGTTCCTGATCTTAGAGGAAATGCTTTCAGTTTTTCACTATTGAGAATGATGTTTGCTGTGGGTTTGTCATATATGGCCTTTATTATGTTGAGGTAGGTTCCCTCTATGCCCACTTTCTGGAGAGTTTTTGTGTTGAATTTTGTCAAAAGCTTTCTCTGCATCTATTGAGAGGATCATATGGTTTTTATTCTTCAATTTGTTAATATGGTGTATCACATTGATTGATTTGCCTATATTGAAGAATCCTTCCATTGCTGGGATAAATCTCACTTGATCAAGGTGTATGATCCTTTTAATGGGTTGTTGGATTCTGTTTGCTAGTATTTTGTTGAGGATTTTTGCATCTATATTCATCAGTGATATTGGTCTGTAATTTTCTGTTTTTGTAGTATCTTTGTCTGGTTTTGGTATCAGGGTGATGTTGGCCTCATAGAATGAGTTTGGGAGTGTTCCTTCCTCTGCAATTTTTTGGAAGAGATTGAGAAGGATGGGTGTTAGCTCTTCTCTAAATGTTTGATAGAATTCACCTGTGAAGGCATCCGGTCCTGGACTTTTGTTGGAAGATTTTTAATTACAGTTTCAATTTCATTACTTGTAATTGGTCTGTTCATATTTTCTATTTCTTCCTGGTTCAATCTTGGAAGGTTATACATTTCTAAGAATTTGTCCATTTCTTCCGGGTTGTCCATTTTATTGGCATAGATTGCTTGTAGTAGTCTCTTAGGATGCTTTGTATTTCTGCAGTGTCTATTTTAACTTCTCCTTTTTCATTTCTAATTTTATTGATTTGAGTCCTCTCCCTCTTTTTCTTGATGAGTCTGGCTAATGGTTTATCAATTTTATTTATCTTCTCAAAGAACAAGCTTTTAGTTTTATTGATCTTTGCTGTTGTTTTCTTTGTTTCTATTTCATTTATCTCTGCTCTGATCTTTATGATTTCTTTCCTACTGCTAACTTCGGGTTTTGTTTGTTCTTCTTTCTCTAGTTCCTTTAGGTATAAGGTTAGATTGTTTATTTGAGATTTTTCTTGTTTCTTGAGGTAGTCTATATAGCTGTAAACCCGCCCCCCCCCCCCCCCCCCCTTAGCACTCCTTTTGCTGCAACCCATAGGTTTTGGTTCATTGTGTTTTCATTATCATTTGTCTCTAGGTATTTTTTGACTTCCTCTTTGATTACTTCAGTGATCTCTTGGTTATTCAGTAATGTTTTGTTTAGCCTCCATGTGTTTGTGTATTTTACGTTTTTTTCCATGTAACTGATTTCTAATTTCATAGTGTTGTGGTCAGAAAAGATGGTTGATATGATTTCAATTTTCTTAAATTTACTGAGGCTTGATTTCTGACCCAAGATGTGATCTACGTTGGAGAATGTTCTGTGCGCACTTGAGAAGAAAGTGTAATCTGTTGTTTTTGGATGGAATGTCATACAAATATCAATTAAATCTATCTGGTCTACTGTGTCATTTAAAGCTTGTCTTTCCTTATTAATTTTCTGATTGGATGATCTGTCCATTGGTGTAAGTGAGGTGTTAAAGTCCCCCACTATTATTGTGTTACTGTCGATTTCCTCTTTTATAGCTGGTAGCAGTTGCCTTATGTATGGAAGTGCTCCTATACTGGGTGCATATATATTTATAATTGTTATATCTTCTTCTTGGATTAATCCCTTGACCATTATGTAGTGTCCTTCCTTGTCTCTTGTAACATTCTTTATTTTAAAGTCTATTTTATCTGATATGAGTATTGCTACTCAGGCTTTTTTTTTTTAACATCTTTATTCGAGTACACTTGCTTTACAATGTTGTGTTACTTTCTGCTGTATAACAAAGTGAATCAGTTATACGTATACATATATCCCCATATGCCCTCCCTCTTGTGTCTCCCTCCCACCCTCCCTATCCCACACCTCTAGGTGGTCACAAAGCACGGAGCTGATCTCCCTGTGCTATGCAGCTGCTTCCCACTAGCTATCTATTTTACGTTTGGTAGTGTATATGTGTCAATGTTACTCTCTCACTTCGTCCCAGCTTACCCTTCCCCCTCCCTGTGTCCTCAAGTCCATTCTCTACATCTGCATCTTTATTCTTGTCCTGCAGCTACTTTCATCAGAACCTTTTTTTTTTTTTTTTTAGATTCCATATATATGTGTTAGCATATGGTATTTGTTTTTCTCTTTCTGACTTACTTCACTCTGTATGACAGACTCTATGTCCATCCACTAGAGGAGAACAAACTTTACAATACATTCAGTTTGGGAGATACAGAATTTGAGATACTTATGGTCTAATTGGGTGCTTAATGCAGTATGCAGCTAGTATACCAGTTGGATAAACAGATGTGTATTACATTGTGAAAGATCAGTGTTAAAATATATAGCTAACCAATAGCAAGATTCATCTAGTCAGTATTAGGAGCTAATAATATATTGAATGTTGGGTTGAATCCAGGTATTACATTTTTTTAAAGCTCTTCATCCTAATTCTATGTGCCATCAGAGCTGGGACCTGGCTGAGGGGCCAGCAGTGTCCTAGGGGCATGAATGGATTAGGAGAAGGCAGAGGAGGGAGGGATGGCCTGTGGAACCCAGACCTCCTGATAGGAGAGAAGTTGATGAAGGCAACAGAATAATGAGATGTAGGTGATGGAATGATGAGATGCTCTTAATGAATTCTTCATCCGAACTCTAGGTATTTATAATTTTAAAGCAAAATAGTCATAGATATTCATAGCCCCCTCCTTTCCAAGCTTCCATTTTTTTAAATAAGAAAAATACGTAAGAAACCCCAATAATTATGTAATCCCTGATAAGTATTTTTCCTTCCAAAATTGGTTGTCTCATTGGTAGGTACTTGATAATGACACAAGATTTATTCTACTCATTTTTGGTATTTTTGAAAACCAAGAATACCATTTTATCCTATTAGGATAAAGAAAACAGATATGATTCATTTAAATTTGCTCCCATTTCCTCAATGTAAATGAAATGTCTATATATAAAAGCATATTGGTTTGCAAATAACATGTCCTATAATAATATCTGTTTTAAAATTAGATCTGTCTTGGGAATTCCCTGGTGGTCCAGGGGTTAGGACTCAGTGCATTCACTGCCGAGGGCCTGGGTTTGATCCCTGGTCAGGGAACTTAGATCACACAAGCCGCACGGCGCAATTAGGTCTGTCTCAAAGCTTCTCTTAGAATTAGATCCTCATCAACTTCAGTGGCCTCATCAGAGCTGTGAATAAGGACAGAACAGCAGTTCAAGAGTCTCCCAAACAGACAACCAAGGGAGGAAAATCAAAAGGCCATATATGTGGACACTTGGGCTTCTCTAGCATCTGTCCTGAATTTCTAGAGTGAAATTATTTTTGTTTTTGTTGCTATTATTGAGATTTTTCTTTGCATTTTGAGAAAAGTGATCCCCTTTTACCCTTTCCTTTACTCCCCTCCTCTCCTTTCCTTCCTCCCTCCCTCTCTCCCTCCTTCCCTCTTCCTTCCTTCCTTCTTTCCTTCCTTCCCTTCTTCCTTCCTTCCTCCCTCCTTTTCTCCTTCTGCTTCCAGATGATCCATCCTAGGTGAGAGACAGGGTGACCTGCACCATGGATAGTAACAAGATTTCTTTACCCCCCTCACTGTTTGATTCTTTCCCCTAGACATAATATTTGGGAGAGCAGGGATTTCATTTTGTATCCTTCATGGATCACAGTCCTGACATACAGCACTGTCTCACAGTATAAGAAGAATTAGTTGGTTGAATGAATCAGGGAATGAATGCCCACCTCTGATCTTGATTCAGAAGCAGCCTTCAAAATAGACAGATAGTTAATGCTCTACCCTGGCCAAACCCAAGTTTTACTTATCTCAAAAAGCCTTTAACTTTTATCTTACCTTCATTTGAACTTCTTTAAGGTGCTTTATAATAGAGAGTTGATGCTTCCAATGTGCATGGAATTAATCCCATCCTTTCTAGACATGCATCAGCTCTCAAGACAATGAAGCCCTATTTCAGTGAATGGCTTTGTCTACTGTGCTAGCAGCCCTCACCCTTAAAACAAATCAATGCTCCTCTAAAGAGGGAGAACACTATTTTTCACTGTTAGTCAGGTATATGCATCACTGGCCTGAACAACCTCCTGACTAGAGATTGGTTATAAATGATGACAACTCCTTACAGAAGTGCAGTGAAGCAGCAGGAGGGGAGGGGCTTGTCTCTGCAGCAGTTTTCAGCGGGACATTTCTTCACCATGTTCCAAACTGCCCACCCCACTTCCCCAAATACCTGCGTTTAAAACAGCTGAAAGTGAAAAGACATAAATATTTTTTTAAAATTTTATTGAAGTACAGTTGCTTTACAATGCTGTGTTAATTTCTACTGTATAGCAAAGTGATTCAGTTATATATATATTCTTTTTCATATTCTTTTCCATTATGGTTTATCACAGGACATTGAATGTGTTCCCTGTGCTGTACAGTAGGACCTTGTTGTTCATCCATCCTATATATAATAGTTTGCATCTGCTAACCCCAAACTCTCAATCCTCCCCTCCCACACTCCCTTCCCCCTTGGCAATCACAAGTCTGTTCTCTATGTCTGTATGTTTCTGTTTCGTAGATATGTTCATTTGTGTCGTATTTTACGTTCCACATATAAGTGATATCATATGGTATTTGTCTTTCTCTTTCTGACTTACTTCACTTAGTACGATAATCTCTAGGTCCATCCCTGTTCCTGCAAATGGCATTATTTCATTCTAAAAAAACATAAATCTTTCTTCACTCAAGACCACTTGACTCTCTCTGGATGGATGAGAGGCGAGCCCCAGCTCCAGCACAGACATTGTGGAATAAGCCAGGAATGTGCCTGACACTGCTGTTCAGACTGAGCCCAGGTCCCTCTGGATTTGTGCTCATGGCCAAGAAGTAGACAATATTCCAAGCAGATAGCTGCCTGGGAATAAAATGCCACCTGTCACAAGTTAAGCAAAAATGCATCTCTCAGCTGTCCTTGAAATACATTACTATAGCACAAAGTCAGGAAACACACAAGAGTTACTTTGATTATGAACCCAAGAGAATTTCAACAAGGCCTTTACCACAGTAATGGGATTTATTTTTCCTGAAGCAGAAGAAGTATACTGAATGAAAATATACTTTTTTGGGCAATGAGGAGAGTATTTAAGGATCAAGAATATTATGACCATATGCCTTTTGGCCAAAATTTTATAGTTGATGTGTTGGAGTGAAACCCTAAGGCTGTAGCAATCAATCCCCAAAGTCACAAAATAAATAAAAAGAAGCATTCTTTTATTAAACTTTTATAATTGAGAATTTTACCAAGAATGGACAAAGCTTTGAAAGCCAAGCTTCACATGATTTTTAAAACTTAACTGATGCCTATTTAGCTCTTTGTCTAATTGTAAAATATAACCAATCTATATACAAGGAAAATCTGAACAAAATCATTACCATCTGTGTTTAATGTTTAGAAGGTTGTTTTTCCCTTTATATTTAATTCAGGTTTACAACCTCAAAGACTATTCATTATGAATTTTACCTTTAATGTATTCTTCAGAATTGTGCACCTGTGATACCTAATAAATTTATGCACAATAATAACACTTAACAATTATATGAAGCTTTTCATCTTCAAAGCATATTATGCACATTAGGAAATTCATCATTTCCTAATGAGGAAGGTAAATATTGTTATCTCCATTTTACAGATAGAGAAACCTAAAGAGACAAGCCATCCATAGGCGTAATTAGAAGGGAGCTTTAACTTTGTGTATGGGGTAGGGTTATGCAATATTTACATTCTATTTTAAAATTTATAAAACTAAGAGAGCACTAAACTATTATCTTGAAATTTTTCTATACCTGAGTCCCTACCCTTACCCCAAATGCACACACATATTCTCCAAATACGGTGTAAAGTTTAAAAATAAATTAGAGATAATTTATCTATATACCAACTCAACTTCCTCATAGTTTTTAAGCAGGTTCTATACTGTAAAAAAAAAAAAAAATTACTCACTATACTTTGTGGTAAGAGGGCTGACTTGTGCCTTGCTTCTTGCACTTAACCTATCAAATTGTTAAGAAGTTTCTTCTTCATGAGTTTTTATGGAAAACTGAGGATCCTTATGTTTTAATAGGTTGTCTATTGAGACCCATTCTCAATGCAATGATTTGTATTGCGTAACTTCAACATTCACGGCACTATGCAGCTATTTATACATTCTGTTTTAGTCTCAATATTATTTAAAGCATGTAAACGCAGCTGTTTTCCAGTCATGTCTGCTTATCAACATATGTCATTCATGTTCACCACGATACTGAATCCATTGTTATGACACTACCATGAATTTACAGAAGATGCCATGACCTGTTGAAATGGTTGTGTTGAGAAACATGGCCTTGGAGCCCAAATTAACATTTAATTGCAAGAAAAGATCACCACTGTCTTAGGAACGAACTCCAGTAAAGAGATTTATGTGCAGGTTTTATCAGAGACTGTTCATCAGAGGGAAAAATACCTATGAGGGAGCAAAGGAAACAGGATTGGGTTGAGGGAGAAGCTGGAATGTAATGCAGTAACAGTAGAGACTCAGGGATGACTTGAAGCTGGGATGGACCTTTAATATTGTTCCAATTCTGGGCAAGGACGCTGGGTCATGTATCCCTGAATCAACCAGTCATAGGATTCTGGATGCCCCTGTGGCAGAAGCATAATCTGGGTAAGGCAACTTCCTTCAGTCAGAGGGAAACTTCCAGAGAGGAAATCAATGCTGAGCTATCAGTGGCCAACAACATCCTCTACACTAATGCATTAGGTATCAAGGTAAGAAGCAACCTTTGCTCTGATTCCCTAGCCCAGAGATAAAGGCTGGGATCCAGTAACACTCTCATGATGTCTGTGTCAATGCAGCCTTTAAAGTTGTCTGATAAGAGAAGGTGTGAAAAGATTGGGAGGGTGGGCACCCAGAATATATGCAGAACACAGGGGAACATGCTTCTACACAAAATGATTGCTAAATCTCTCTCCTCAACACACTGGGAAGATACAGTTAATTTACTGGCCAAAGGAACCATGACCAAGACGTTGATCCCAAAGGGCTGAAGCAGGAATAAGTTTTTCCACAGAGTTACTTTGAAAAAATATTCCCAGAAATTTAAAGCTGAGACAAAAATAATGATCATGTAGCAACAAACACAGGGAAAGCAAAACTAAAAATGAAGTCCTGGAGACAGGAGCAAGCAGGAAAAAATTCAGGAGCTGAATGAAATTAAAAATGAACTAGAACAACTGGAGAGAAAAGAATATAACCCTGGCAAAGGGTCATGAACTGTTTCGGAGTATCTTCAGACTAGCCTTATTGGACATTGAGCATAGGTTGTGGTACAGGGTTCGGGCAGCAAGTTATGGGATAGACTTTTATAGAAGAGGGCCTGTATGTGCAAAAGAAGGCCCTTACTTGCTGAGCACTCATCAACCTATACGCTTCACCCAGGAAGTACGAAATGCCAACGATATGAAAAAGAAGGGCAAGTTCAAACACGTAATGAGAGAGTAGGGAGGAGAAGTGAAGTGAAGATTGACAATCATCTTGCTGTTTTTATGAAACCATTCTCCTCTGTCATCGAGAAATCTGTAGATGGAATCTGGGTGCCTGGATAAAATCAGGATAAACAGCTCTGTTCCTTAATCTCCTAAAGGAAGCAGAACATTCACATCTCATTGATAAGCCTTCTGTCTTTTCAGGAGGTCAGCAGAGAGATTTCTGCATTTGGTTTTCTTCAAAAATGTTAGACCTTTTAAATTGCTTTGATAGAGTATATGCTCTGAAGCTTAGTACAAAGAAAGCAATTGCTCAAAGAAGTAGAACTAAAGGATCTGTTACAAGGAGTGTGTAAATGAGTTTTTGGTGGTTTAAAGAGGTCATTCCGTTGGACCTGTTATAGGCTCTTACAGGGCTCAGAGAATTTACTAAAGTAGGAAAGTATTTCAAACCCTAGTTCCCATTAAATTGATACTTTATTCAGTGCATTTGACCTCTGAGCTTGACAATGATGCTTTATAAGTGAACCTTAAAGTGCCATCTGTAGCATAAAATATAAGTATGTGGGTGTTACAAAAGCATATGCTGTCTTTGTGTGGGATGGCTCTGGGCGGAGCTCACTACCCACAGGATCTTTTATCTGTGAGTCACAGTTCCTGGCAAGGGCAGTTTCAGAGTTACCTTCAATAGACATGAACAGTGAAGTAAATGTGCGTTCTTTGTTCGGAGTTTAGTGGACAAGTAGTATATGGCCAAAGTTCCCGGCACAGTTTGTCTCAGTTAGCCCTGTTTCTAAGCCTCAGCAACAAAGCCTGGAACTGAAATAATTGGAGAATATTCTAGTTTGCAGGCACAGCAGAGCGGATGAAGTAGACCACATATATTAAAAATGAACTAAGGTAGCAGATAACACTACTCTTCAAAGATGCAGCAGGTTGGAGGAGATAGTGGATGCAAACTTAAAGCAAATATTCAGTAAGATGCATTTATGGGAATTTTGATTTATTAGGAATAACAAGTTCTTATTATGCAGTGAAAAAATTAATCGAGTCATAAAATTTCATAGCTGGAAGAGGCTTTCAAGATGGCCTTGTTCTCTTTTTCCTAATAAAGAAACTGAAATGCAAAGAAGTAAATTGATTTGCCCAAGGTATCTCAGCTTGTTAGAGGCTGGCTTGGAACTAGAAAGCAGGTTTTCTAGACCCTTCCAGTCGGGGTCTAGAACCCTGACTTGACCCCTCACTAGAAGAACTGCCTGTAAGGCTGTAACTAATAAGGGAATCAGGTCTCCAGGTTTGCTTTATCTCAATCCCAGTCATTGATGAGCACACGTGCATTTACTGGGATTGAATCATTATAAACTTAGTAAGAATATATAAAGTTTACAATTGCTTACCAAAGTAAGAACAGATGCTCTTATTGACACAAATTCCCTAAAGTCAGGACCCCCACTGTATCCTCATCTGTCCTGTCACTGTGGCAGATTAAAAAGTGCTGAAAATTCTCTGACATTCTTCTCATCTGAAGGCAGGGTCTATGTCTCCTTCCATGAACCCAAACTGTGCTGTGATTGCTTTGGCCAAGAGAGTACGGCAGAATAACACCATGTCGGGTCTGTCCTACCTCAGACAGCTTCTCCCTTGGTCTTTAGAGCCCTGGGCCCCTTTAGAAGAAGCACAACTACCCAGCTATGTTAGTTTGCCAGGGCTTCTGTAACAAAGAACTACAAACTGGGTGGCTTAAACAACGGAAATGTATTGTCTTACAGTTCTGGAGGCTAGAAGTCCAAAATCAAGGTTTAGGCAGTGTTGTTCCTTTCGAAGGCTGTGAGAGAAAATCTGTCCAGGGCTCTCTCCTTGGCCTATAGGTGGCCACCTTCTTCCTGTGTCTCTTCACATCATCTTCCCTGTATGCGGGTCTGTGTCTGAATTTCCCCTTCGTACAGTGACACTAGTCATATTAGATTAGGGCCCAACCTGATGACCTCATTTTAACTTGATTACCTCTATAAAGACCCTGCCATCAAATAAGGTTACATTCTGAGATAATGGGGTAATTAGGACTTCAACATATGAATTAGGGAGACATAAAAAACCTGTAACACAAAATCCATAACAACAACTAAAGAGAGATGGTATGGAGAGAGAGGACGTCATTGAGCCCCACCTTTCACCCATTCTCACCAAGAAACCAAGCAGGCATGTGAGGGAAGACATTTTGGACTCTGCAGACCTTTCTAACAGTATATACCAACCTGCACTGATATCACAATAGGATTGTTTACTAACATCAGTTAGTATTAACACAATGCTTTCAGCACTATGTAATCTTATTCAACTAAAAGCTTATGTGAAAGTCATACTGATAAAAATTGAATGTTTGTGGATAAAGTAGGGGCAGGTGGGGATCCTCTATATCAGCATCCTTGTCATACTATCCTGTAGAAAATACTAGAAGACTTCAAATAAACCTCTGGTTTCCACACAGAAGCATTACTAGAGTAAATAGATGCTCTTGTTTGAGTTTTAAGAGGCTCTTTTCCTCCTCTCTAAAGGCTGGCTGACAGACATCACAGGAGAATTATATGCTAACTCCAAAAGAAAATATGGGTGACAATGATTTTGCAAGTGCCTTTATCCAGAGACTCCTGCTTTGAGATTATGGGGAACTTGCAAAATTAATCATCTCAAAGCAGGAGTCTGGATAAAAACTGGATTGGAGAATGTGACTCAGAGCTGAAAACGAAGTGGGGTACTTTTCTCCTCTTGCACTAAAGAAAAGACAGAGGGCCGTAGAGGGCAAGTCCTAAGCTGACTTATTCACTCATCAGGAAGAAGGACAAGCGGGCCTGTCAGGCTGGATGCAGAAAGTAAAAGAAGAAAATGTGAAGGTTGGAGAAGAGATGGATGTCTCTGCCAGAGGAAAAGTTCCTGGCCTCCCTATTGATCCATGACATTAAGGGAAAGAGGAAGTGTGAGGTTTGCTTTCTGCCCTTGACACCGTGGCTCCAGCCTCTGCTAACCTGGCCAAATGGATGTACTGATTCAGACAAGCCTGATTGGTGAGCTCCGCTTCTGGGAGAAAGACTGTATCCCCGTGTGGAGAAGGGGGCAGAAGTATACGTGCTCACACTCTTATCCTCAATGGAAACAGGAAAAATACGAAGAGGAAGGAGAAATTTCCCCCAAGAGTTTGGCCCCAAGTAGCCTTAAAGGAGAGAATGGGTATTTGTTGAAAAGTGGGATGGATTCTGTTCTTTGTTAGAGGGGTAGGCAGGATTCTGGCCCCCAAAGATGCACATGCCTTAATCCCAGAGCCTGTGACTATATTATATTACATGGAAAAAGCGAAGTAAGGTTACAGATGGAATTAAAGTTGCTAATTAGTTTACTGTAAAAAAGGGAGATTATCCTGGGTTATCCAAATGGGCCCTATGTAACCACGGGAGCTCTTAAAAGCAGAAGAGGGAGGCAGAACAGAGGAGGGAAATGGAGAGACGTAACACCCAAGGCTGACTATGCCAACCTTGAATCTGGAGGAAGGGGGCTCCTAAGGGCTGAACTGCACTCCCACCAAAGTTAATTGGTTGAAGTCCTAAGCCCCAGTACCTCAGAAAATGACTACATTTGGAGGTAGGACTTTTCGAGAAGTAATTAAGTTAAACGTTGGTCATGAGGATGAGCCCTAATCCAGTATGACTGCTGTCCTCATAAGAGGAGATGAGGACACACACACACACAGAAGGCAGACCGTGTGAACACAGAGGGACAAGGAGCCCATCTTCAAGCCAAGGACAGAGGCTGCTAAAGGAATCGATCCTGCCAGTACCTCTTCTCAGACCTCCAGCCTCCAGAACTGTGAGAAAATAAAACCGTGTTGTTTAGGCCATCGATCTACATTACTTTGTTATGGTAGCCTTGGCAGACGAATACAGGGCAATGAGCTGAGGCATAAATGAACTCACCCCAGCCTCATGCCTCCTCCACACCTCACCCTAGACTTATTGCTAAAGGAAGGAAAAGAGGAAGAACCGCCAGCATGCCAAAATTACCCCTTGTGGGGAACAGCTCACAGAACATCAAAATTAGCACCAAAGCTCAAAGAAGTTCACAGAAGCCTCAAATCAGCAAAGTCAAGAGCGTGGGTGGAGGAAGAACACTGACACTGTTTCCTGTCATGCCTCAGTGCACGATGTGTATGGAATAGAATACTTGTACTTTCATCTTTTGACTAATATTAAGAAAAAGCTGAGCTATGAATGGGAGTGGGGGATGTGGGATGGGGAATGGGGGAAAGAAAAAAAAGAAAATAAAGGTTTTTAAAAAGAAGAAGCTGGAGAGGCCTTTGAGATGGCATAGGACTAAGACGTGGAGATCACCTTCCTTCCAACAAATACATCAGAAATACATCTACACGTGGAACAACTCCTACAGAACACCTACTGAATGCTGGCAGAAGACCTCAGACCTCCCAAAGGCAAGGAACTCCCCATGTACCTGGGTAGGGCAAAAGAAAAAAGAAAAAACAGAGACAAAAGGATAGGGACGGGACCCGCACCAGTGGGAGGGAGCTGTGAAGGAGGAAAAGTTTCCACACACTAGGAGTCCCTTCGTGGGCGGAGACTGCGGGTGGCTGGGGGGGTAGTTTTGGAGCCATGGAGGAGAGCGTAGCAAAAAGGGTGCAGAGGGAAAAGCAGAGAGATTCCCGCACAGAGGATTGGTGCCAACCAGCACTGACCAGCCTGAGAGGCTTCTCTGCTAACCCGCCAGGGTGGGTGAAGGCTGGGAGCTCAGGCTTGGACTTTGGAGGTCAGATCCCAGGGAGAGGACTGGGGTTGGCTGCATGAACACAGCCTGAAGGGGGCTAGTGCATCACAGCTAGCTGGCAGGGAGTCCGGGAAGAACTCTGGACCTGCCTAAGAGTCAAGAGACCATTGTTTCGGGGTGCGTGAGGAGAGGGGATTCAGAGCGCCGCCTAAACGAGCTCCAGAGACGGGCGCGAGCGGCGGCTATCAGCGCAGACACCAGAGACGGGAGTGAGACACTAAGGCTGCTGCTGCCGCCACCAAGGAGCCTGTGGGCAAGCACAGGTCACTATCCACACCTCCCATCCCAGGAGCCTGTGCAGCCTGTCACTGCCAGGGTCCTGTGATCCAGGGACAACTTCCCCGGGAGCACACACAGTGTGCCTCAGGCTCCTGCTACGTCCTGACGGCCTCTGCCACTGCAGGCTCACTCTGCAATCCATTCCCCTCCCTCCCCCCCGGCCTGAGTGAGCCACAGCCCCCAACGCAGCTGCTCCTTTAACCTCATCCTGTCTGAGCGAAGAACAGACGCCCTCAGGCAACCTACATGCAGAGGTGGGGCCAAATCCAAAGCTGAGCCCTGGGAGCTGTGCGAACAAAGAAGAGAAAGGGAAATCTCTCCCAGCAGCCTCAGGAGCAGCGGCTTAAATCTCCACAGTCAACTTGATGTGCCCTGCATCTCTGGAATACCTGAATAGACAATGAATCATCTCAAAATTGAGGCAGTGGACTTTGGGAGCAACTGTAGACTTGGGGTTTGCTTTCTGCATCTAATTTGTTTCTGTTTTCATGTTTATCTTAGTTTAGTAATTAGAGTTTATTATCATTGGTAGATTTGTTTATTGATTTGGTTGTTCTCTTCCTTTATATATATATATATATATATATATATATATATATATTTTTTTTTTTTTTTTTCCCTTTTCTATTTTTGTGAGTGTGTATGTGTATGCTTCTTTTTGTAATTTTGTTGGTATAGCTTTGCTTTTACCATTTCTCCTTGGGTTCTGTCTG